GTTTAAGAAAACTAGAAGGGAAACAATGGCAGACCTGTCCAAAATTTAAAACAAGAAGAAAGAGAAGTTACAATATAGGTATTCTTTCTCTTCTCCAAAATTATTTTTATGTATATCAAATAGTTACGCAACATGTTGTCTTTCTGTCAATATAAATGAGCCAATAAAGTAGCTCTTGGAGAATATAAGTGATTTGATATATACATAAGAATAGGCCTATATGTATTTAATTACTCTCAGTTACTGAATCTCAAATTTGTTTGCTGTTATTTACTTGAAAAGAGCTGCTGAGTGAACTACAGATTTATGTACATCAGATACAGATACCAGAGATCTGTTTGATGGATTTCTATGATCTATTATTATGTGTGTGGAGATACTTGATATTGCAGAGAACTGGAAAACCAATGGTGTTACCAAAGATGAGTGGCACCTAGCAAGATGTCTCCAGCAGGCCTAGTTCCTCCTGGAAAGGACCATGGAGTTGTTAGGAATGAGAGAAAGAGAATATTAAAGAAGTTTGCAATAGCTAATAAATACAAAACTATCCTCCTATTTTTTAAAATCTTTAATCAGTCAAATAATATTATAGAATATTTAGATTCTATTGTATGATAATTACTGCACTTCCATATTGTAAAATGAACACCGCAGATAATTTATGCTACACATAGATATCTTTGCATAGTTTGAGCAAGAAAACATTTAATAATGACAAAACATTTATTTATTAAATTTATATGTTGCCCATCTCACTTAGAGGTGATGCTAGGCCAGGCATGTCAAACTCGCAATGTCACATGACGTCGCACGATGTATCATGACTTTTTCCCCATTGCCGGCAATGGGGTGGGCGTGGTTTTGGCAGGACGCATTCAGCCTGTGGGCCAGCAATTTGACATGCCCGCTCTAGGCAGTTTACAAACAAGTAGAATAAAAGAATAACAAAGTTGGAAGGAACAATGGAGGTCTTCCAGTCCAATTCTCTGCTTAGGCAAGACACCGTATACCATTTCAGAGAAATGGTTGTCTAATCTCTTCTTAAAAACTTCCAGTATTGCAGCATCCACAACTTCTGGAGGCAAGTCATTCCACTTTTCATTAATTGTTCTAACTATCAGACAATTTCTCCTTAGTTCTAGGTTGCTTCTCTCCTTGATTAGTTTCCATCTATTGCTTCCAGTCCTGCCTTCAGGTGCTTTGGAGAATAGATTGATCCCCTCTTCCTTGTGGCAGTCCCTTAGATATTGGAACACTGCTATCATGTCACCCCAAGTCCTTCTTTTCATTTAGCTAAAATAGGTAAGTCATTACAATTGACTTAAAATTAACAAAGATGGCAAAGAAGGGAGCAAGATACACATGGGGTGGGTGTGGAGTCTTATCTCAGTTCTTTAACCACTTCCAGATCAAACAAGATGTTCCAGAGGGTAGGAGTAGAAAATGTACTTCTCCTGTCAGCCAGTATTCCTTGACTGACAGGGTCTGCAACATGCCCCTTCTGCTGGTGCAGGGGAAAAGGTGCGCCAATGCCATTGGGGTGAGATAGTTCCTTGGATAACATGACTCCATGCCATAAAGGGGTTTTTAAAGATAATAACCAATACCTTGAATTGGACCTGGAAGCAAAGCAGCAACCAGTGCAGCTTGCACAATGGTGCTATAACTTGAGTTACCCTAGGAGCCTCAAGAAATGTCCACGTCTTTGTATTCTGTGCCAGCTGTAGCTTCCAAATACATTTCAGCTTTTGCATTTTTTAATCCCGTTCCTCCTTTTGGGAGGTTGGGTGGCTAGGTGGATAGAATTTAACAAAGCAAAAAGAAGGTGCCAAACACATGAATAACTTCATGAATATCATTCAGATGTGTGAGTTAACAACTTTCTGGATAGAGCTCCCTTTAGATAGAGATCTTCCATTTCTTCTTTCTTAGGATCATATTAAATAATTTCCTAATTCTTGATCTCCTGTGTCACCATGTATATAGATCCAAGTAGGGAGAGAGTTTCAGAAATGAATCCAAGAAGCAGTTCTGGGAGTAAAGACAGTTTCAGATTTTCCTTCTCTGTTGTTTTCCCAGTCTAATATATCTTCCCACGTTGTTATTGTCCTGCTGAAGAAGTATCCATTCATCTATCTAATCATCAGTCTCTCTGTCATATAATCTATCCATACAAAAGGAAAATGGGATGGGGAAACACTGAAGAGTTTTTATATTTACAACACATTGAGTCACACCTGGCTACTTTGGACAAAAAAAAAAAAAAAACCAAGTGGGAAACTTGTAATTCTGTAAGCCCTTTTGCTCTGAAGAGTGGCAAAACCTTCATTTTATGCATGGGGTTTCCCTGATAGATCACACCATTCTTCGGGGATAGCTTATCAATATATATATTCACTGTATTTGAAAGAAAGTCTGAAGTTAAATAAAAAAAAGACTCTGATTTGACATTTGGATTTGAGCAAAACTTTGCAAATGGGAAAAAAGTCTATACAATCTGTATGTAACTTTCCAACTCATAATATATACTAAACTTGTCTTCATGTACCTCTGCTGGATATTGCTACTTCCTTGAATACAATAGTAACAAGAAGTAGTGGTCCCAATGTAAAATGGTGTCTCTCTCTCTCATGTGTGGGGAGAAGGAGAGAGGGAGAGAGAGCACAACAGCTGCATAGTTGTTTGTATTGGGTTACAATTTCATCATTGTAACAATTATGATATGAGATTTGATGGTCAGAGGAGACTGTTCTGTATCTTACATTAATCAGGCACTAATGAATTTTGGTTTGGGGAAAACAGTGCAAAGTATAGAGGACTGGATGCTAAAACAGCAGAAATATCTGCAGAAAAAAATAGCACACCTTGTGATCATAGAACTCCTTGGATTTGATTTGAAATGGTACTTTTAGTTACAAGCCCATATCTGTGCAAGTGTGGATATAAGTACAAAAACTACTATTCCAACAATAAACAATGTATGAAGATATATTTTCAAATGTTGGCTTTTTATCCTCTTGGGTTTACTAGAATTCAGCCAAAATGATCAAATCATCAGAAGTAACAAATCTGTTACAAGTGCTATACACTTACTTCTGTTGAAACAAGATGGAAACACTGAAACCTGACAAAAATGAAGACACATTGACAGTTTTTTTTTTCTTTTTCTGATGACCTGCTGTTAACCATACAAAACCAGAGTCTGCTTCATGGTAACTTTGGTAGTAGATATAGTCTATACTACCTCAATTATGCATCTCCCTGTGGTTTTTAAAGTGATTTGTCTTATTAAACTGGATTGAAAAAAAACAAAAGCACAGGACTATCCTGAGCTTTACAATGTACTTCAAGGATGAGCATCAAACAATGCATTGAAAGCTTTTTGGTTTTTTGCAAAAGCTCTTTTGTTTGCAAATTCTTTATTGTGGACAAAGCATCTGGAATTCCTATGGCATTGTACACTTACATTACTGACAGGATTAAGCAGAGCAAGAGGATACAGTTTCATTTCTTTTGATTTGCAATGCAGGGGAATAATTTAGGTATGAATTGTTTCTGGTTATATTCCAAAAGTGTTTTAAGTAGTGCACACCTAAACGTGTGCTGAGCATATTTCTCTCAAGCCATTTGGTTTCCAGTTTCCTTGTCAGAAGTTGGGAATGGCGATAAAGTCCCTGTTGTCTATAGAGATTCTCAGTCATCCAGGTCATGGTTGTCACAAAGGTGCTTTTTCAAAAGGCAATTGGACTACGTTTTTTTCCCTGAGGAAGAGGATGTTTCACTTCTCATCCAAGAAGTGATGAAGCTTTTTGGAGGAGAAGTGAAACATCTTCCTCAAGGAAAAAACAGCCCAGCTGCCTTTTGAAAAAGCACCTTTGAGACAAGGTCCCTGTTGATTTTAGATGTAATGAAGGGTCCTTAAAATGTTCTCTGAAACATCTGCAGGAAAACAACCAAGCTCAGAGAGCACCAAGGACCCTTTTCAAACCTGAACTACAAATATTCTCCTTTATTGATCTAGGTGTAATTTTTACATGAGTGAGCAATTGCTGAATTCCAGGGTATATACCAAAGAAAACTAAATATTTTAAAACAGATGAATGCAATATTAAAAAAAAAAATCTTCCATTTTGTCATTATTTTAACTTTCCTGGGGTGTAGCTTTCAACTTTTTGATCTCTTTTCTTGGCATCTGATTTTTCAGTACTATTATAAATTTAACTTAGCATCATTTAACACAAAAGTAATATTTAAATTAAACATTTATTCGGAATAAATATGCATTATTTTGAAAAGTCAGAATGTTGTGATCTGAAGAACTTTGCTAGCAGCCACTAATGAAAAGAGGTGTTTGAATGTACATTTATCATGAGAATACCTGTGAACGTATATGTTCATTAGCTGATGCCTTTTGGAATATCCATTGAAGGCTTCCATTTGTACAACAGTAATCTTTGTTGCAGGGGGTTTCAGCAGGATGCAAAAGAGGATCTTTTCATTTCAGCTACATCACCTTCCATGTGTGCAATTATCAGCTGTGACTCATCCAATCATCACCTCATTAAATCACCATGTAATATAAATGGGATCAACTCTTTATATGTAATGTACATCATTAGAACCTACCCAGAAAATAAAATGTTTTCAAAAAGCCGAAACAGCTTGATGGCAGTTAACCATACAAGATGCATATTTAAAATATAACAATGTTGTTAGGAGATTTTGGCAGAAGCACAATGTATATTTAAGGGTTAGCAGGACTGAGCAAGCAGAAGCTTTATAGTTCCAGGTGAGAAATGACTCAAAATTTGGACCTGGGAGCAGATGTTTATCAATCTTTTCACATACTTGGTTGGCCTAAGCTTCAGCTAGAAATTGAAAACAAATGACTTGATTAATATCAAATGATGAATTAATCTATGTGGTACTGTAACGACACAATAATAATTTTATGATTTTCTATTTTCTTCTTTTCATTTTTCCCCACACATCTCCTATAGAGGTCCTTTTGTAGTGCCATGGTAGAGGAGCTGAGAATGTCCTTGAAATGTCAGCGTCGGTTAAAACACAAACCACAGGCTCCTGTAATTGTGAAGACAGAAGAAGTTATCAACATGCACACATTTAATGACAGAAGGTTGCCAGGAAAAGAAACTATGGCATAGAGCTGGGAGACCACCCAACCCCAAGCACAAACTGTTTTTTTTTCCCTTTCCTTTCCTTTTTCCCCCCAAAACCAACGTTTGCGAGAATGTTTCCTGTGGAAATATGCAACCTGTGCAAAATAAAATGAGTTACCTCATGCCGCTGTGTCTATGAACTAGAGACTCTGAGATCTAAGCAGTTGCAAAGGCCAGACTCGAATCACAAGCATCGCAGAGCAACCATATTTGTCAGGGGAGGGAGGGGTTGGGGTGTTGGCATTCCACCGTTCGTCATGGGGGGGGATCCACCTTTCTGTAACAAGCAAAGTTCTGTGGGAATTTTCTGGAGTCGCAGTGAGAAATGGCAGGTTTCTTTCTGAAGTACATCATTTGCCAGGGACTGCAGAAGCAATCAAGCAGCTTCAAAGAAGTAACTACTGTACCAGAGGAGTGTCTGAAAAATAATAACTCAAAACTCTATTCACAGAAAGAAAGAAAAAACTCTGTTCTGTACGGTTGAGCATAGAAGATCTTGTAATTCCTAACCAAAGTCAATATGGGCCTGCCAGCTGATAGGAGCTTATTCAGAGGGAAAGTCATGAAAAAGAAAACCGTAAATAGAAGAATGAAAACAGAAAGTGTTACTTGCAATTTTTGTTCCTTTCGCTGTGTCATTCACCTGAATAAAAGATAAAAACCTATGCCAATAGAAAATCACATAATTCATCAGTATTGGAGCTTGGAGAGAACCCAAAGGAGGTGGGCCATATTTTAAATAAGAAAAAAAAAAGGTTTTCCCTCAGTTTCTTTTCTTAAAGATGATGTTCCTTATGATGCCTAACTATAAGCAATTCTGTCATTGTTTAACTGTGAAGCAAAGTACACATTTGATATAGCAGAAGAGTGTAATTTGTAGCCCTGAACAGGGTCTGGAAAATTCTTGTTCCTGCTTCAAAATGAACTCATGGGAGCCTGTGGCATTCTCACAAGTAGCTGAAATATAGATGGCCACCTAACCAGCAGGGAAAGTGGAGAACTTGAAAACTGGACTGCATTTCTCAATACGATCAACAGTGTTTAAATGAGCAACATTCTGGAGCCTTTTTTTCCCTCATCCAAAAACAAGAGGGAAAAGAGTGTTCAGATTTATTTGTGGAAATGCAAGATTTCTATGAAAATAGTTTTTTGTATGGACATTTTTTGTAATACTTTTTAAATCAACAATCTCAAGAACCTGCGTTTCAATCACGGTCAGGGGTGTGGTGCAAAGAGTGGCTGGTAGTGCGTATGCACCACCAACGTTTGGTGAAAACTATTTTTATCATGGAAAAAAAATGGGGGAATCTTAGAAGAGAAATATTTTCAAGTTAGATAATATAATATCTAGGTGCACTACCAATACTGCTTATAATACCACACCCTTGGTTTTCACTAGCCTGATATTATGCTGTAATGAACCAATGTGTGTAAATTATGAAAGACACAGACCTCTTGACCACATTGTGATAACAGTTGAAGTACACACAGTTTGCTGTTTGAATCCAATGCACAACATTAAAAAAAAACAATGATCACGACACATACATAAAGAAAATTGTCCGTTTTCAGTTGTTTTCTGGGAAGGGTGGGTTGGGAATTTCAGTGTGATTTGAACAAGATGTGTGTAGGACTGTTAAAACTTCTAATATTAAGATCTAATTCTGCACTTATCACCCTCCTGAGTTTGCAAGAACATCAGCATCTGAAATGTATTTAAGACTAGGCCCACTCCATCTCACTGGCTACTATTCTTTTCAGTTAGTTGTTAATTGTTGGGCACTGTCTAAAGGGGATTCCTTCTCTGCAAGATCTCTGGGAATGGATAACAGTTGCAGAATGGGTTCATGTGCAACTTTTATTATTTTCAGCAAAATCTATACAGAAGAACCATCTGCTGATTGCTTCTTTCTGCCTTCTGAGGCCCTGGGTAAGGAGTCCCTGTGTGAGTGATATATAAAACAACTGGTGTTTCAAATACCTTTTTGGTGCTCAAAACAGATGTGATACCATCTTAATAATTTTAACATAGTCTTACTGTAAATTTGTATCCTGAAAATGTATAATGTAGGGACACTTGACTATAGCCACCGTTTATAAATATAGCTTTTTATGCCAAACAAATCACTTATTTCTTTTTCTTCTTTTATTTTTAATAAACAGAATCCAAACATTATTTTGTACAAACAATGAGTCATCTGTAGATAATGAACATATTATTTGTATATTCAAGGCACAAATGTTCATTAAAAAAAAACTGCACTTTTTTTTTTTTTAAAAGTCCCTCATAAAGTGTTGCATGTGTCTATAGACAAACCAACTCTTGCAATGCATGAAAACAATTTCTCCTTCCATTATGGTTGTTGTTACTTATATCGACCTCAGAGCACCTAGAAGGGCCTATACTCCAATATGCCCTAGTTCCTCCTTATTCTCTCTGGAAAAAAAAGCAGGATGTGACTCATTGTGAGATGACTTAAATGGTGAGACCCATCTGCACTGGGATTTGGATGTGGGCTGTTGCTGTAATTCTTAGATGTTACAGTAAGTATTTACCTACAGCAAATGTTAGACATTCTGTTTGGGTGGGTAAATGGTTAAACATGTGCAGTCCATGGGATGACTCACAGGTGTCTCAAACAGGTTAGAGTTCCTCTTTGTTTCAGTAAAAGGCTGAAATTCTCAGTGTTCCAAAGTGCCAAAGGATCTGTGTCATCATGGAAAGTTATCATATAGGGAACAGTAACTACACTTTCACATACACATGGGAATCCCTGATTTCTTTTAGTTTCCAAACAGTTCTTGCATACTAGACCTTGTCTATAATTGCAATATGTTTCATGTATGCAGCTGCTTTGCTAAAGTTAACTTCAATATGGATAAATTACATTGTGCAAAAGTCATACTACCGATTTTGAAACACTCAGAAAACAAAAGCTTGTCATGAATTGGAACCTATGTGCCTTGTTCTGCACGGTTTCTTTGATAAAAAGAAAGACTTTATAATGAAATTCGGGAGAATTACTCTCACCCTTGTCTCTTTTTAACACTCTACTTAATTTGGTTTTGATTTTGTTTCATGGCATTTCTATACAATGTATTTCAAGCTGATTATTATGAATTAGATCTTGTCATCAACATCATAGCACAGATCAAGGACTGTTCAAGTATAAGATTAAGTGCACCTGAGCTATTACTAAGTATATCAGTTCACATAAAACAATTGGCACTGTGTGTGAATTATTCACTAACAAACAATTTGCAACTAATACCCCCATTCAGAAACAGGCAGTGTGCTGTTGTAGTTAAGGTACTGAACTAAGGTTCCAGGACTCTCTTGGCATGGAAGCCAGCTAGTGTTCTTGGACCAGTCCTACTCATCATTATCCAACTCTGCAACATACTGGCTGAAAAAAAAAACCCTCATTGTATTATGTACTAATAATCATTGCTATAGGGATTAAGTGAACACAATGCAAAAAAGCAGATTCTGCAACTAAGCAAGAAAAATGCTGAGAATAATAGCAACACTTTTCCCTATTATGAAGATCATAGGACATCTGCAGGCCACCAGTTGTAGAAGTCTAAGTTTTAAAGTTTAAGACACTGGTTGGATTATATTCTATTGCTTGTGTTTGCATTATATTGAATTCCAGTATGACATGGTCATTCTCATCCAAATTTCTGGCAACTGCAACCCCCTCTATCACTTGTTCTCTGTTAGTAAGAATTAGATCCAGTATAGCTGTTCCTCTAGTTCACTCCTTTACCTTTTGGATAGAGATTAATTGCTCCTTGGCTGTGTTGCTATATTATTTTGGGAATCCCACTGTATAACATGTGGACAATGGGGCAAGAGCAAATAGTCTGAACTTGCAATGATGAAGTCAGGAAAGCTAAGGCTCAGAATGAAGTCAAGGAAATAATTTGTCCACTAATGAGAGAAGATAGCAAGGAAATAATGGTCAGTAGCGAGAAAGCAGAAGTGCTCAATTTATGCTTTGCATCTGCTGTCATGCAAAAAGAAAATATAGCCAAATCTATCAAAAACATAACCGTAAAAGACAGACTAGGAATACAAATTAAAATAAGCAAGAAAATTGTAAGAGAATACTTGTCCACTCTATAAGTGTTCAAATCACCGAGACCTGATGGATTACATGCCAGAGTTCTGAAGGAACTGGCAGACCTGATCTCCAAACCATTGAACCATCTTTCAAAAATCCTGGAGCACTGAGGAACTACCAGAGGGCAGGAAAAGAGCTGAGGTGGTTCCCATCTTCAAAAAAGGGAAAAAACAGATCCAGGAATCTACAGACCAGTCAGCCTGACCTCAATACCTGGGAAGATCCTGGAAAAGATAATCAAGCAACAGATCTGCAAACACCTAGAAGTAGGCAGAGTTATAACAGAAGCCAACAGATCATGCCAGAGAAATCTCATTTCATTCTTTGACAAAATGATTAAATTAGTGGACTAGCAAAATTCTATGGAAATAATACACTTAGATTTCAGTAAGGCATTTGACAAAATAGACCACAGCCTACTTCTTGGTAAGCTAGAAAAATGTGGGATAGACAGCATCACCACCAGATGGATTTGTAATTGCTGAAAAACCGCACTCAACATGTAGTCATTAATGGAACTACATTTACCTGGAGGGAAGTAAGTAATGGGTTACCCCAAGCTTCCATTTTAGACCCAATACTCTTCAATAGCTTCATAAACAAGTTAGATGAGTGAATAGAAGGAGAACTCATCAAATTTGCAGACAACACCAAACTGGCAGATGAAACTAAACTGGCAGGAATTGCCAACATCCAGAAAATAGGCTCAAGATCAGAACACTTAGGCATTGGGCCTTATCTAACAAAATGAAATTCAGTGTAGAGAAAAATAAGTTTTACACTTAAGTAAGAAAAATCAAATGTACAGGTATAGATTAGGTGAAACCTGGATCAATAGCAGTAACTGTGAGGGATCTT